GGTTCATTGGCTATAGCTGCCAAGGGGATGAATTCCACAGGACTTTCCACTGATATAAGTATTTCTTATATTGACGCCGCTAAAGCTGGTGACGTCTTACTGCTGGTGGGTACCATATGGTTTGTCCTTATATGTGTCGTGTTGACTTTATTTGGTCAATGAAATAACGTTTCGGGAATAATCTTCAATTCAATACGCGTTCAATGACTGAAAAATCGAAGAAATCAGAATGTTTAAAAATTGGTAAAACCTTAGCCTTTACAACCATAGATTTGTACAACAAAAAAGATAATAAGCTGATTGCTCAGGGTAGACACACAAAATTCTTGAAGATTGCTCATCGAGATCCTCTTAATGAATTCAAGATTGCCGAGAAAAAACAAAGGTTACCAGGAGGATCGGATGGTGAAGGAACAAGTTAATGATGTAAACTGAAGTGAGAGCAGTTCTTTAGATGACGGTATCGGGAGTAAAGCATTGCAAAATGTTCCCGGCTCGATTATTATATAGCGAGTTTTTAAAATATTTTGGTATTACTAAAAACTTAAAGTAACCATAAAAAAAATATATTTGTGTATGTTAATTCTATTAATAAATTATTTTAATGTATAGGTATTTCCTATGATTTTTAGAAAAAAAATTTTTTTCTTTAATACTGTAATATATTTATATTTATTTTATTATGTTGTGTTTACACTTTTTTTTTTTAATATAGACACTACACTAAGCAAAGCGCTCAGATCTAAAGGCTTTATAAATTTCCTAACTTGGCGTATGTATGATTACGTAAGCATGAGATTATTTATTTTGCTAAAACGAGAAACAAAAACATCTACCCATCGAAGAAACAAAAAAGACGTAATTAACACATGACAAAGCAATAAAACTACAGAAATATCTTTGTCGATTCTAAACATTTCTACGTGACTCTTACTGCTGTGACGTGATCCTAAGTTGTATCGAGTCAACAAGAATACTCATAATCACTTCCCTAAGCAAAACTGACCCTCGTTATATCACTTTATTCTGTTAAATTAGATTCGTATTATGAAGATTCATCACTTTTGGTACTATGATTGTCGCCAAATTGTGAATTTATATCTTCATCATCATCTTCTTCTTCAGATAATTCATTCTCATCAACTTTATTAAGCTTGATCTCTACGTCTTCAATGGTCATTCCATTTACAACGATGTTTTCTTCCTTTGCGTAAACGCATTCATCTTCCTCCTCATTTTTCATCCTCTCGTCCTTTTCCTGATTGAGTAGTAAACCATTCATATGATCTTCTTTCCCACTTGTAAATAAGCCTTCCACATAATTACTTTTTTCTTTCTCTTTTTCAACAAATGAACACCTTTGGATATGGTTTTCTTTTTTTTCACATTCGGCAGGCATAATTTCATGATTATCATTCACTTTTACTTTCTTATCATTCTCACATTTCATTTTTTGTCTCATCTTCAATACTTTCTCGCCATTAACCTTCGCAGAATTTTCAATCAAACATTCTAATGCAACTAAATCTTCCGTTTTCAACACATTATGTGCGATTTCTGGCATCCTCCTAGAGAATTCCTCGATTGCCATTCCTGCTACCATTTCTAATGCTAATTCTTTTGTACCTTTAAACCCGCCAAACGATCTTTTAAGTATTGGTACGCGTAATATTACGCAATACCTTTTGTTTTTTGGCCATGATCTAATTGTATATTCTGCGTTAATGTGCCTGCAGATTGTAAAGAAAACATTGAGATGATATTGTTCTTTTGAATTTTCTCTCTGTTCTTCAGGTTTTTTGCTGTCATCATTAAGAACTTGACCATTTGATGGAGGAGATTGAGATAGCCGTTGCGGTAAGAGTTGATCTATTTCTTTCTGCTCAGTAATGACCTCGTTAGAATTTTGAAGTGCATATTGTACCCACGCCCTTCCATTTTGGTATTGAGATGATTCTTGCTGCAATTTTTGTTCTTGTTGAATAATTTCTTCGGGCGAAGGTAACAATTTATCATACCGTGGATCTCGTTCATACAATTCTTGCCAAGACTGTGTTCTGTATTCATTACAAATAACGAATGTATTGACTGAATTAGTTGTGTCGTTCAACTAAAATTAAAGTTTATTTGAATACGGTAAAATAAAATAAAAAATGCAATTTCGTTGGTTACATAATTGCAGTGAATTGAACTGAACCTTGCTGGAGAGATCTCTCCAGTAGATCGCACAACACCACCGTTGTCATGCGTTGTTCTTCCACGATCACCACTATTATAACAGTGATTTCCTGTTTGTACTCGGTTTCTTAGTGTATTATTAAATCGCGAAGACAGAACACGCGACGTTAAAGAACTTCTTGAAAAAGCACGTGACAACGGTGCTGAAGAAGTAGGCTCTTGAAAATGTAATCTTATAGACGTCGAAATTGCACCAGGAACATTAGGACTACCATCACTATACGAAATATTACCGTCAGTGAGATATTTGTCTTCTGTCAATGCAAAAGAATATCTAGAAGAACGACGCGAAGAGGAATTTTCGGAACGCATGTGCATTATAATAATGTAGAGAAAATCTTATTGTCGTACAAGGAACAAGTCCTTTTCTTGATTGAGATATTCGTTATATGATATGTGGTTGTTACTAAGTTACAAGAAAGTGACCGAGAAAATATGATTATGAAGGATAGGGGTGAAGAAGGAAGGGATTGATCTTCGCAGGTTTTTGAAGGTACCATTTTTATACGTAAATGTGAAAGTTTGGTCCATAATGTGTTATTTTTTTTTAAAAAAAAAAAAAACTTTTTAATGCTTTTTTCATCAGTATAATTTTAGGATTTTAAAAACCTTAAAATAAACATTTGATATTTAATGATTACTAAGTCGACAAAAAAAGTTACTACAAAATTAATTTATCATTACATTTATACAATCAATACATACATTACTTATTTTTAGATTTCATGAAAATAACATTGCAAAAATAATAAAAATAATAAAATAATAATTTTATCTTGTTTAATTGATATAAAACAGCAAAGTACTTATGAATTTACTATTTTTAATATAATTATTAATTATTGTTATTAACAATTTATGAATTTTTTTGTATATGCATATATAATATTTTTGAAATTTTTTATTTATTCATTACTCAAAAATTATTATATAAAAATCAATAAAAAATATATCAAATGAAGTTTAAAATTTAAAGATTTTATTGATATATAATTAATAATTAATTTTTTTATCATTATTTTCAATTATTAATTCATATTTTCTCCTTTATTAAATTTATAAAATTAATTATAATCCTATTTAAAAATTTTTTCTATTCTTCTATTATAAATTATTCTAATTCTAAAAAATTTTAAAATAATCTTATTTTTATATTTTTTGTAACAATAAATCAAAGATTTTCAATAAGATTATTAAAAGACCAATCTATAATTTCAAGAAAATTTCATTTAAAAATTTTTTAGTAATTTTACTAATATACTTAAAATCATTATTCTATTGAAAGTATCAATTGTTTCTTTTTTATACTAATTTTTTTTCTTTTTAAAAATAAAATATTCTTTATTTTAATTTAATAAAAAACTTTTTTTTGTTAATAATTATCTTGAAAAGATATTAAGTAATAATTTTACTTGAATATAAAACTTATTACAAATAATAATTTTTATTGATATAAGTTTTGTTATATGTATTTTAAATAATTTTAATTAGTAATGAAATAATAAAAGGATCTGTGGGTCTGTAGTGTAGTGGTTAACACTCCACAGGTCAAATCACAAGATACCAGTTCAACCCTATATAAAGGCGGTTGAATATAATTAATATGGTATCTGGTGCCATAACTTGTTAAGTATTGTTTCTCATAAGAAGCCGTTTCATATGCTGATCCAGTAGATGTTGAGATTGTGATTTTCAGAAAAAGGTGTTGTGGCGTGACGATTGTCCGGTTGGTGTTATGATGATTATCATCAAGTTTGGTACATTCCCCAATTCCACAACAAATCGTTTCCCATTCCCTATAGTTCATGAGATTATAAAAGAAATTATGGAGGGCCACAAACTGAAAACTATTCAGCAAAACTTTCAACACAACTTTCTCTTCAGTATGAGTAACGACTCGCCAGCAATACCCACCATTCTTACCTGTAGTAAAAGTACTTAGTTGGTAACGATTGCCAAAATGGAAGATTCCCCTTAGGACTTAGCCTGACTTTGGAGGATTTGCACCCTCTTAAATAAGCAGCCTATGCTTGAAGCCTGGCATTATCCAAAAAGGATTGGATCATCAACCCCACCATAGGTTTAAAGGTATTAAAACAAACCCCTGGCCACAAGGTTTTATCTGTTTCCCCACATTGGTAACAATTCGGGCCCATTGGTCTTAAATAAGATGAACTACCAGGAGAAGATAGAGACACAGTACTCCGATGGATAAAAATTGGTTGGTGTGAATGGTGCTTATTGGAAAGTTTATAGAAATTGAGGCTGGAAGATGTAAGAAAAATCATATGGGTAGGCTGCACCCGGATGGTGTACCTGTGGGTGAATTCTAATTGAGGGATTGTAAGTGTAAACAGAAATATACAATGTATGTTGTTTACAGCACAATTAATAAATTAGAGTAAAGCTTACT